AGGCCTCTCGGGGCGGGAGAAACGCGCTGGACCTGGGCAGGGCCCCGCCGCCCTCTGTGCTCCTACATTGGTACCCCACGGCAGTAAGTGGGGTATTTCTTAATTGTAAGTGCATTTCTTGGTAAATCGGGTGATAATTCTGTCTCCTTACATGACCCCGATCACAAAACCATCAAGTTATAAAATCAGACCTCCAGTGTACCCTGTTGTATTTCACCCAGCCACCCTCCAGTTGTATACTATTCTGCATAACTGGCAAATTGTTTGCCGGGAGGTCCTCATTTAAAACCACCAGTGCTGGCTGATACACCGGAAGGCTGCGCTGCCATTCAGTGGGACCTGGAGAGTTGGGCGGAGAGGAACCTGATGAAGCTCAACACGGGCAAGTGTCGGGTGCTGCGCCTGGGGAGGTCGAACCCCATGCACCAGTACAGGCTGGGGGCTGACCTGCTGGGAAGAGCAGGTCGAGGGAGGTTATCCTCCCCCTCTACTCTGCCCTGGTGAGGCCCCACCTGGAGTACTGTGTCCAGTTCTGGGCTCCCCAGTTCAAGAAAGATGAGAAACTCCTAGAGAGAGTCCAGAAGAGGGCTACAAAGATGATGAGGGGACTGGAGCATCTCTCCTACGAGGAAAGACTGAGGGAGCTGGGCTTATTTAGCCTGAAGAAGAGAAGACTGAGAGGGGATCTTATAAATACTTACAAGTATCTTAAGAGTGGATGTCATGAGGATGGAGCCAGACTCTTCTCAGTGGTGCCCAGTGACAGGACAAGGGGCAATGGGCACAAACTGAAGCAGAAGAGGTTTCAGTTGAATGTGAGGAAGAACTTTCCTTTGAGGGTGACAGAGCACTGGAACAGGCTGTCCAGGGGGGGGGTGGAGTCTCCTTCTCTGGAGATATTCAAACCCCGCCTGTACGATGCCCTGTGCGACTTGCTCTAGGTGACCCTGCTTTAGCAGGGGGGTTGGACTGGATGATCTCCCGAGGTCCCTTCCAACCCTTGCCATTCTGTGATTCCTCTGTTGTAACCCAGGCAGTTTCAGATAGCTGCTTAAGTCTTTGCTTTTGTTCAACACTGCAGATCTTTCCCTTTTCTTCAAATGGTAGCCTCGTGTTTTCTTGCAGCTCATCCATGAAAATACCAAGCCATATCATGTTTAGTGTTGATCTCTCCTGAAGTCCATCAGAAACCCTGCTATTCAGTGATGAAAGCAAGTATTTCTAGGATCTGTTTTGGAGTGGTTTTCACTGGCTAGTAGTTAAAAGGTTAATATTTGCCACGTTACTATGTAGCTCTATTTTTTTAACAAAATGTCACAAAGTTGTATTTCTACACGTTCACACCTATCAGCTGGTATACGCTTTCATCAAAGAATTAAATCAAGTTTGTTTGATGCAGTTTATTTTCAAAAAATAAAATTTGTTTTGCTGACTCTTGTGTTTTCATTTGTCCCCTCTTCAATTTTTTACCTCTGTTTTCTTCCAGTTTCTCCTTTGTTCTGCTTTGGACTGATGTCACAATAACTAAACTGGAGACTGCTATGGATGTTTGGCTGCTGCTTCAGAGTACTGGCACGCAGGTTAAAGGAGAGGCAAAAGCAGTAGGTGCTGGTGCAAAGGCTGATGGATTTTTCCATTTGAAATTAAGTAACTAGGTGGTTTTGCTCTCCGGACCAAAGCACAACGTAGAAATGCCCGATACTTGGTAAACATAGTGCACCAGTCTAGGCACAGCAGCAGATAGTTTGCCCAGCTTCTGAGAAGCTGTCAGCAGCATAGGCATACCCTTCAAAAGGGTAACAGAGGCTATTTGTACGTATGTTTGGAAAAACTGACATATAATAAAATAGATCAATATGCAGCATTTCCTTTTGATCTAAGCTAAAAGGACATTGTTTCGTGACTCCATCCCATGCCTGATCCAGGAGGCCCTCAGCCCACAGGACTGCCCCACAAAGAAAGCCCTCTCTTTGCCAGCTTCCTCCTTCTAAAACTGAGGGGCCTTCAGCTCAGTCACACACAGGAGCGTGGACTTTCCCTCTGTTCTGGCATGGTTCTCTGCCACTTCTCCATTCCTGGGAATACCTACATTGCTGTGTCAAGTAGTATGTATAAAAAGGCAGAGACATACAAATACAACCTTTATGATTTTTAAAACCAGCTGCAGGTCTCATGTGAACATAGAGCCTTGAAATAGTTGTTTTCAGTTCTTGTGTGAGTTAACTTTAAATAATGGTATTCTTTCTCCAGCTTAATTCACAGATAATGAAATAACTCCTTTACATGGCAGGCTGAAAACACATGGCCTATAAAATGGAGACATGAGAGGGGACAGAGACATTCATGTTAATTTGAGAAAAAATTAAAGCATTAGCTTACTGCAGCGCTTAACAGTGTTATGGAGTGATACATTTGAATCAGTGCTTTTAGATACTTTTTTCTTACAAAACTTCGTTTCACATTTAACTGTGTATTTCTGTAAGCGAAACTGGATGTCTGAGTGCCCCGGTCCATTCTGGCAATACAAATTCAACACTGTATTCAGCAAGCCTGACTCTGGAATTCCCTTGTCTTTCTACAGTCTGTACTATACATGCTGAATTCCTGTATGGTGTCTTACATTTCCATTCCTCTTTGTCATTCAGTTAAAGAAATATTCTATTTTGTAAAAACCGAGGAACAGATACTGAAGGTTAGATGCATCCTGATTATGAACAGCTTTCTGTGTGCCCAGCTTTAAATAGGTAAGCCTTGATTTTCAAAAATGTGACTGTTTGCTGCTCAGGTGAAGTAAGACTGGTTTTCTAGAGCTAGGTGGTCAAGCACGGAGAATTAGAGGATCCTTTCGAAAATTTGGGACTAAATGATTCGCTCATCTCTACAGTGTAGCCGAGTTTAAGGTTCCCATCTGCTTGGTTCTCTTTCCTCCCCTTACTCAATACTGCTGCCTGTGCAGTTAGAGCAGAGAAGGAAAAGTAAATCTTCGATTTTATGAAGTCGATGGTAAAATCGTTAGCTCTAATACAAGAGGGATGCCATCCATGAAAGTCGTATTATAAGAGTGAAAAATATAAAAATAAATGAGCAGTTGTATAGATTCAGAAATTTACAACACATATGTGCAAGAGAAGATTGTTAAACGTTACAGAACATCCTTGCCTGAACAGAAGGCCAGGAAATTCAGTCAAAAATTACTCTGTCATGAAGGTTTTAAATCATAGTTTGAAAAATGCTTTGAAATCTTAGATCAGCTTTGGGGACCAGCTTTTTCTCCATCATGTGTCACTTTAAATTCCACCCCAGAACCCAAGAATGTACAGTAAAAGGAAAACATGCTTTGACAGCCCTATGATTT